AATACGGGAGGCAACAATGTTAACCTAAATATCTTAATTATCTACTAACATATTTTCATTCTTATTACGTTATTAGTAAGTTCGTTAATTCTTTAGTCACGTTTATGGAATCATTTACTTGTAATAGGTGTGTTATGGCCGTAATTATGAACTTACACGGAAACTACATCTAGTGTATAAAAATGAGAAATAATATTTTTGCGACGTGCCAGTTAAAATGTTGGTTAAAGCGCCTTTTTGCTTATACAAGTATGAAAGTTGTTTGATTTATTTATATGTCAATTTTTCTTCAACATAGAATAACATAAGTACCTAATAAATATGGAATCGAATCAGTATAGATGCCAACTGGTGGAGAACGATTGTTTTCAATGTAAGTGCTTTTATGTGGAAGTCATTTAATTTTTGTTTCTGAAGCAGCTCTGGTACCTTTCTATAGACATTTTTAACGACATCATGCCTTTTATCCCCGAAGGGGTAGACAGAGGTACACATTACGGCAGGCACGCTAGCGGAGGCTTAGCCTTTAACATTTTTTGTCGGCAGTTAATGTTTTTTTTTCTATTTATCTACTTTTTACTATTTATGTTATGAGTCCCATGTAATAGGGGAAAGCCTATTGCCATATACCGGTCAAATTTCCAAACTCCGTGCTACAACTGAAATTATTTTTAAAACCCAGTAATACTTTGCCCAACCCGGAATTAAACCCGAGACCCCTTGTCCGGCTGTCGCACTTGCGACCACTCGGCCATCGAGGCAGTCGAGAGCAGTAAAAGCAAACATTTGTATCATATTTCACAAACACCAATGTTCACAAGCAGAAGCAGGTTTCTACCAACCTCTAAAGGACAATTAGAGATGTGCATTTATTGACTAATATTTAATGCGTAATACACACAGAATTAAAGTTTATATTGCATTGCATTTAAAAGAAATATGTACAAACAAAACATATCCAAATCGATCGTTAAAAACCTTTAAAACTGCTCTTACTTCCCTTCTCAGAAAACTTTATTTCAATTTAAAAACAAACATCGATTTACTGAACCTTTGAAGTTAAAAGCGTGGAAATAACATACACATATATTGCTGGGAGCTCTCAGTAGGTTCTGTGATGTGGTTTCAGGGAGGCTCAGGGAACATTGTGACGTGTTACGTTACATACATTCCATGTGCCTCTGTGTCTGAATCAAGGCCTGTGGATAGAGGATGATAACACCATTGTATAATCAAGTATACATTGTTTAATGTTCGTGCTCTCGAGGACTCTCTATGTTACATGTTTTCTCACGTTCAGCGTTGAAATCGGATAGTTTAAGTTAAAAGGTACGTAGTTCTGATTGTTTATGATGGTGTTATAGTCAAACTATAGTTGGATAGAAGTGGATATTTATCTATTTTATTATTTAATCTTTTAGCTGCAGCAATTATAATTTTGTTCAAATTGTTTACAGTTAACACGAAACTGAAAGTATGTTTACATTTTACACGTAAAACAAATGGTGTAAAATAAAAACTAGAATTACAGACTTTTCAACGCAGGATTTAGTTTTAAACGTGTTTGAATGGAATGAATCAGTTTATTGGAACACTAGATCCAGATTCTAATAATGTTGAGTGTAGCTTTTATAGTCTAGTCATCAAACGTAACGAGCATCATTAGTTCGACGTCGAAACTTTTGTCAATCACCACTTAGTACTAACTATACTTACAGTACATTTGTACAATTTAAATTTCCAAAGGTTTCATTCGGTTATCGACAGCTGGAAGTAATTCGAGTACCTTCTATCGTCGAATAATATTTCATTAAACTCGAACCGCAACCACAACGGCGGGAAACCATGCAAATGCTTCGAACATTGATTTTTTGAATAATAATTACCCTTTGAACTATGACGTCACTAATGACTTGTATTTCGTCGTAATGCATGAGGCAGAAACCGACCTACAATGTACATTTTACTTACCATATATAACATAGTATTATAAGCCGCTTATCTTCCACAAAAAGATTTCTAATATGTAGAACTTTTCACATTTTTGCAAGTAAACTATTATGTTCTGTTTGAGTGGTTTCTAAAAACATGCCTATTATTTATTTTGTTTCCCAGTAAATAATGTCCGGCTGGTCGGCGCCACAGAATTGAGTTCTGCGAACGGACGGGCATTTCCTTGCAGGCTAGCCGCCTAGGTCAGCGGCAGCCAGCCTTAGAAATACCGTTAATATTTATACCTACATACATCATTCTTGTTCTTTCAATTCGCTTCGATATCAAAACGAGATATCTTTGTTTAGTTTCGATAGCAAACATGAAGTTGGACGAAATACTTCCTTATTTAATAGTAGAAAGTGTAGGTACTGGTTGTTAAACTGTAAACTGGACTTGTTATAAATTAACTTTAACTAACTTAACTTATTAGCAACGCAAAGGAAACCGTCCATCGTGTTTGTGTTGCAAGGATAAATCTCTAACTAAAGTCTCTACTCTAAAAGATTTTATGTGGTTAATTATCAAGATCAATCTGTTAAGACAACAAAATAAAATAAATAAAAAAATGAATATGTTTATTGACAAAAAGCTTCACGTTACACATTTGTATGGCTCTGGATTCCCTGTGTCGTGAGGCCCAGGGAATCCAACAAGGTCTGGTACTTAAAGTAATCCTCATTTTCTATTGATTTTAAAAACCTTGATAACAACTTCATCAAAGCAATTTTATCAATAGACTTATCTGTGTATTATAAATAAAAATATCAATGAGAATTCATATGACTAAACGTACGAGGTTAGGAAGTCTAATACCAGACTGAAGTATTTTTAGAACATACAGAACTATTTCCATTTTGCTGGGAAAACTAGGCAAATCTGTCATCTAGAATGTCTCGTACAGTAAGCTTAGACTGGGTTGACAAGAACGCATACGAAATCCACTCGGAATATTTTTGGATATGTCATTGGAAGTAGACCATGACAGGAAAAACATTTTTTTTGTTAAGGCTCAATTTACACCGCCGCGGACTGGAATGGAAATGATTTCTGCAACGAAACTGTACATAGCATAATGAACTTATATCAACTGTATAGCAAACTGTAATTACTATTACATCTAGTTCACTATTATGATCTATTCATACAAGCTTTATCTTAGCTGGTATAGGTACTAAAATTGTATAAAGGAAACATGTGATTGTTTGTTTGTTTAAATTGAATAGACTAACAGAAAGGGTTGGCATTTTTATGAGGGGCGAATTCCAGGGGTCAAAACCGCAGGCGAAAAGCTAGTATCAAATAAGTAGTTCACAAAGTATCATAATTTGAAAAATAACTTTTTATTTATTTGATGGACCGACGTTTGACCACTATCTCGCCTGGTGATAAGCGATAATGCGGTTTACGATGTAACATAAGTCTTTGATGGAAAGTAGGTGTATACAGCCATTTTAGAAAAACAGCTTAAAAAATTGAAAAAAGGAATGACGCAAAACTATGACGTGAATTAAGGTGGGTGTAGATTATCAAGACGTGTTATCCTTTCGAAGAAAGATAGACAAACATGTTTTTTCCATAGTATGTGTCTCGTCCATTGTACCTCATATTATCCAATACAGCTAAGACTCTTGAACCGCGTAAACAACCTTACAATGGTAGAAAATATGAATGAAGCCTTATGAATGTCAGAAGTCATAACAAGGTGACATGCTGCTGTTCTCATTCCATTTCACAATGGAAAAAAAGAAATGTCAAACATCCATTTGTATTCTTGTATTTAACACATTTTAAGTTACAGTTTTTCTCGATTTATACGGATTTATGAATGTAAGTATTATTTTACTTTTTCATAAGAATTGTCTTAATCGCAATATTCTGTAAGACTTAACTTGAAAGAAAAAAAAGTTTCTTTAAAATGTTCTACAATAACATTTCATGTTCTCGATATACCTAAAATAAAAAAATATAAAAAAATAAACCATTTTTAAAATAAAAACCTTTATTTACAATATCATTTCATGTTCTCAAAGGCTGTTTTACTAAGAATTCTCCAAATCGCAATAATTTTTAAAAGTCAACGTGAAAGAGAAACAAAGTTCCTTCAATATTATTATGCTATACAATAATATTTCATGTTCCCAATAATAAATTGAAAAATATACTACCAAATCAAACACTTTTTTGACTCATCACAGGATTATAATAAAATGCAATACAAAAAATACACATCAGTGACGTCATGCTTTATATGACAAGGACAGCAATATAGGAAAAGAAAAAAACACATGAGAAGAAAAAAGAACACTCTGTATTGAAAGAATGCAGAATGAGAAGAAAGGTGCAAGTAACATCAATTGTTTTTTGTCTTCAAGTACTAATTTACGCACCAAAGCATAGAATAAAATAATTGTGAGACGAGAGTGTTAATTAATCTAGATATCACATGGGTTTTCCGAGGTCACGGGGGTCTTTTCCTTTTTGGGGTTAACTTGACTTAATGTTTGCTTTCTGTTATTGGCAATTATAAGCAATATAACTTCGTGACTATAAAAACTTGATTTGTGTAAAGTGTCAGTAAGTTCTCCAAAGATCAAGTATTAAGAAAAATGTATGTAAAAATACCTCTATAGACATATTATATGAAGGTACTCCTTGGTAAATTAATTGTTATTATTGCTATATTTAGATAATGTATTGTCTACATCCCACGTCTAACGTCTTAAGCGACAAGAAATAAAATAAAATCCTCGAGATTTTCGGTACTTAATTTGCTGTGATTGACATTTGTATTGCTTGGATTGGTGTATAATACAAGAACGAGTTAGCCAATAAACTCGGTACTTTTCCGTATTATGAACAGAAATGTCAGTATCAGAAGGTTAATGAATCGTATGCTCTCCGCCTTGTGTGAGAGGGACGGCACTATGAAGGAGGAGGTGTCGCTTTCTGCCAGCGCCGGCATAACTTGGTTGCAACAGTTATCTGCGAGTCGTGAGCGGTGACGGTCGCGTGCGAGTCGCCCGGTGGATGTCTCGTATCAAACTTTTCACGGGATTTCGGGAAAATATTACGCACTCTCTAAGTTGACCGCCCCCTTAATCACTTTTTTGCGTGTGTTCTATGCAATCTAAAAGAAAATTTAACGCATGTTTATAGTTCAGCTTGTTTTATTACGAATTTTGTCATTTTCGAAAATAGCCTGGCTGTAATATGTCAAAACTAGTTTATATCCAATTATGGTGACATGTTGTCGAATAATTTGATCATGATTGTAATTTACACTCAAATTGGTTTGGCGCCCACCGTGGGACTGAAGTTGGATCTATAATAATTATTTTAAAACAATATAGTTTGTCATATAAATATTACAGTAATTATGATGTTATTGTATAGACTGTGTTTATGGAAAAGTGGGAGAATGTTACTGGCACTGTTCCTTTTGGATTGGCTGTTTGCTGCCTCTACGGTGGCTACCACTCGTAAGTATGATTTATTTTTAATTATTGGTAACGATAGCGAGCTGTTGTCTGGCTAATACCTATACTTTGGAACTGTGGAATTAGTGCTTTTAGAGAAATAAACAAAACAAACCTTATGTGGATATTTCACTATTTCTCTATATTTTTAAGGGTAAACGAAAATGGTATCGTAAGTAAAAATAATAACATTGTATGAAATTGCAACAACATGAACATTTCATGACTAATACTTAAATGTTCAGTGAACTTGCTTTATGTGTGTTCAAGCATTTTACTTATCGGTCGTAACTTATTTTGTGGGCTATTTGTGGCGCGAATTAGTACAAAAGTAGTGGAATTATGTGTTTTATAAACTGATTATAAGCACGGAACTTTCAACATTAAAAAACTCTAGATGTTCTATAAAAATCATGAATGCCTTAAAACAGTTTAGTGCTTAAAATTTTAAAGTAAAGAAATAGTTAAAATGAATTTAAGTTTTGAGGATTAATAAATTAAATAAAGACTCTAGTTATGGTAATAGACTGGCCTTATTACTTGAGATTTATAACTTAAGGCAAGATAAACTCTGCCTATTCCTTAACGGAAAAAGGTCCAATGTTGGTATAATTTTCATCATAACTTCTGCTTACTTCCTGAGAGTATCTATGCCAGTAACAAATATAAAAATAATTTGAGTAGAAATTACTGCTAAAGCTAAAGAAGTATCGTAGTTGTTTTTATATTTTGTACATTTCTCTACAGCTTTTAACATTCTAATGATAATACGTTCTACGGAAGTTGAAATATCGCCCTGTTAATTATATATTTACTTACGTATTGATATTGGACATATTTCTGCTCTTAAAACTCTTTTCTTTGCTTTTAAATATGGGCTTACATAATATTATTTTTGGCATTATTTTAAATAAACTAGGGACGCTTCGTAAAGATATGATATATATCTCGTTTATTTGTCAATGCTGTACACCGCCATTACTTTCTTTATCTTAAAAATATTTACAATATCAACTACAACAAAAATGAATTAATAAATTATTATCAATGACTTAAGAAGTTTTGCGCCATTTTTTTAATTATACCTAAAGTTAATAGAAACGACTTTATTCCCATACATCGATCCGAAGGTCACGTTATATTTGGTGATAGACAACAGGAAAGTTGTGGAAACCAATAATATTTGTTGTTTGGGAAACTGATAGCAATAGATGTGACACAAAAATATACTATTATATCTCTTATTCCCCAAAAGAGTAGTTAGGTATTCACTTATTTAGTCCAGCAGTCAAAACATTTTCAGAAAGTGTACAAAATCAAATCGTGTCAAATTGTCTATAACAATTACATCGCACATACCTTTCAAATTTCAGTAAATATTAATCGACCGAAGTGAAGTTCAAACCAAATTGAACTTAATGTTCATTCATTAACACTTTGAATCGAAAGTAAACTTACGATATTTTTCATTGGCTTTCAATATCAAATGTTAATCATTAAGATCTGAATTGGTTTGAACTAACTAGATGTGTGAAGTTCGTTAGACTGATTGTCTAATGGTCTTGTCCAAACTTCTGACTGTAGAACGCACGGTCATTGACCCTTACTTAATAGCGCTGCATGTAAATTGAGCGGACAAAATAATCGGGTGATAACCTGAAACACGATTATCAGGAAATTATAGAAATTATACTCTGAACACGAAAAGTTATTTGAAACTTATTTTATTGAAAGTTGTGTTGAATTTATTCCAATTTTCATTTAAAATGAGAGCTTAGTCGTGAGACATACTAAATTAACTAAAATCGCGGGTTATTCACGTGAATATACTGACAAAAGCTCTATTAGTTTCGAACCACAGAGGGGTTCTTCCTCATGAGCCGCGTGCGTAAAAAATAAAATAAATAACATGATATAACTTACGTAAACTAGTAGAGCTTTACTCAGTATATTCACGTGAGTAACCCGCAATTTTAGTTAATTTAGCTTAGTTCGTTTCGAAAATAGCATTTTCCTTCATAAATTACTTTCGTATTATGTTACGAGGTTCGTAACATCGAGGATGTCATACATTTAGTACATCCGACATAGTTCAAGAAAAAGTTCTTGATACGACAGAGTGACCGCTTATTTGTCTAACCCGTTGCTAGGATTCCAAACCCTATGCCCGCGAGTTAAATACATGTTTACGACCAATTGACAATTTATTAGATACACGAAATACCCACGAGATATTTATTATGTAACCATTGAGGTACTTGCTTGATAGGAATGTATATTTTCAATCATATATGAATATATGATATATATGTATAAATACATACAGTGTACCTTTGTACTAACATAGATAGACGTATTCTTTTTTTTTTATAAAAAAGACAAAAAAAGGAGAAACACTATAATAGGCGTATTACTTTTAAAATGTGTTCAAAAAAATTTTTAGGCCAACTTGAAGTAAATGAATAAGTTTTACATTTTTGATCTCGAAAATGAAAATCGTATTTTGTACACAATTTTGTACCTAGAACTGAATAACTTTTAAAATGTAATACGACACTAGCCTTGAAAGTTCTTATCCTCTTTCAAAATTATTACGAACAAGTATTAACTAACAGATTTTGAATCTTCAGAAGTGTTCTGTAGTTGGATTATTTTACGTCTGTTGATTTTATTTATTTTAAAAAAACATTGCCCCATACTGGGATTATCGTTGATAAACATACAAGTTAACATACATATGACACCCAGAGTTAGAACAACTAGGTCAAACAATTTGTGGATCACACAAAGAATTGCTCCGTGCAGGAATCGAACCAATGACACGTTGCGCGGCAGCCAGTTGCCCATCCATCGCATCTACCGCGCTGTCATTTCCATTTCCTATTTTTTTCTGTTTGTACTTAGTAATGTTGAAGCTGAATGTATTTCTTTTTAAAACTATTTCGGGAGTGATTCCAAATCTAAGAATAGTATCTAATATAAAAATATCATTTTAATATATATAAATGAAATATAATAAATGAATAATATAAAAATATCATTAAATATCTAATGTAAATAAATGATATTTTTACATTAGATATTTAATGTATTTCAATGAGTCGTGGAGAACCAAACGTGCAGGAGAAGGAACGGGGTGGTTTTTAGTCAGTAAGAGTCTGACACTCACTCCCGCCTCACCCAGGCGGGGGCAGTCATTCGATGATTAAAAAAAATATAATTCCCCCCTTAAAAAAATATAATAAACGTAATATAACTTACGTAAATATTCGACGGGGATTATTACACACGATTTTGAAATTAATCACATATTCACAGAAATAATGAACCTTGATATGAACCACGAGTTTCTTGGCATTATCGGTACCATTCAACTTAATGTTCTAATCTCGTGTCATAGAGACCATCAGCTTCCAATACGTAAACGTTCTGAATGTTCCTTAAGACAGGAGATTAGGCAGCCATTAGTCCGTTCAAGTCTATCAAAACTATCCCTGTAAGCAATGTTTGGAGCTCTAAGGCCGGTCTCACTGAAACTTGCAGTATAATCAAGCGTTGTTATGCAACTATACTACCGCCGATTAGCGCGTGTGTGTAGGGGAGCTGATAAATGCTTCTAAATACTAGTTATAGTTTACCAAACGAATATCTTGTTACTAATTTGTAACGATTTTTTCAGGGGCTTTTTGATTTTTGGGTTAGTATAATAAATAACGCTACGATTTTCTTTAATTAAAACTGTTCAAAAAGATAATATTACCTAAACGTACCGTACGTTACATATTCTTGTTTGGCGTTGGTCTAGTAATTAGCGTACACGGCTGAAGAACCAAAAATGAAAGGAAAATAACGAAATAAAAACACCGAGTTTTCAATTTCCCTTTAAGCCAACGATGCCGTAGTGAAAAATAGCATTGATACCACGTGATTGGGGCGGAATGACAAACTAAAATAAGCGAACGAAAGAAAAAACACGATGTAAATTATAAGTATCGGTATACCGTGTCATGATAAACAAATTTTTAACAGCGAACTGCTTTCGTAAATCAACGTTAAAAAGGTGTGAATCTAAAAGGAATCAGTCTTGGTTTGTATTTGGATTATCGTGGTGAAACTTGACGTGCAGTCAATTAGTAGGGCAGGGTGTTCGCCGGGGCGCGTTCCTAATTTGTCAGTGACAACGTCGGAAGTTTAACAAGCCTAGTTTTAACAATATCAACCACTATAACGCCATTTAGAAAACATTAAATCAAATTGTGCTGTCACGGATTTATGGAGCCATAATATTTATAGCATAAGTTTCCATTACATCAATTGTTTATTAGGTATTTAGTCGCACGGTTTTAGCTCCATTTCGGATTCAATTCCCTATTGTATTGCCGTTTACATTTTGGAAGTTGAAGTTATTGTATTTAGATGACACATTCATTTTCAAATTCACCGATAAGGGACTCTGAGAGTTTATTTTGTTCATACAGTCAGCGTATAGTCTCTTGGATGGAATAAATTGGTAACTTTATACATAATTTCTACTCCGAATGCTTTTGTCCCTAGCCTTCCAGTTCCCTGAAAACTTTCTAACGGTATTAGTTAAATTAATTCTATGAGGTATTATACTCTCTAGATAAATGTGATACCTACTTTACTTAGGAATGTAGTATCTAAGTCTGGTGAAACTTATCTGATTGTTACTATTACTTAAGCGGTTTACTCTGGAACTTGAAACAGTTTTAATTTAATTCTTCGTCGCCCAGACACTGTCTGATTGTCATGTATCACTTCTTTCTACTTATAAATGAACCTAATATGTTTAAAAGTCAATTTTAAGTAAGTATTTGTTGAAAAGAGCCTCATTAGCAGTTAGAGCTAAGCTATTAATTAGTACATTTTGTGTAAATTCTATTCGATCGGAAACAGCAAATTTATAGAGTTTAATTTTAAGTTCGATTAATTAAGGATTACCAAATAGCTAATCTGAGCTACGGTTGTGGTGTTAATAACTG